GTATTGACCCTAGATGAAGAACACCTCTTGGAAATTTTGGATGAAATTCCTAATGAGGAATCAAAGAAAAAGCATTTGCTTTTGGCCATCCAAAATAAAGAAAAGGAAAATAAAGAGAAAGCTAAAAGGCCATTTGAAGCAAAAAATATAATTTCATATAGTGAAATTATGAAAAAAGCTCAAGCTAGAACCTCTAGACCACCCACTTTGAATGACCTCAGACAAGAGGTTAACGAGCTCAAAAAGGAAATTAAAACCCTAAGAACCAGGGTTGATCAACTAGAATCTGATAAATTTTAGCTAGAACAATCTGAAAAATCATCAGAAATAGAACCCGCTGAATTCATTGGAGAAGATGAAGAGTTCATCTATTTGATTGAAGAAGTCAAGTACCAAAAATGGTACTCAAAGGTTACAATTAGAACTAAAGATTTCAAATTTTCAGTAATTGCCTTAATTGACTCCGGTGCAGACATTAACTGCATTAGAGAAGGAATTGTACCTTCTAAATATTTCGAAAAAACATCTCAGCAGGTAAATGCTGCTGACGGAAGAAGACTAGGAATAAAATACAAATTTCCTATGGCCCACATCTGTAATCAGGGCACTTGCCTAAATTCTACTTTCCTTATGATAAAGGATTTAAAGCAAGAAGTGATTTTGGGAACACCTTTCTTATTATCAATCCTTGCCAAATAGATTCTACAGGGATTACTACTACTATAGGTGAGATATCAGTCACCTATAAATTTTGTCAAAAACCAAAAATAACTACAATAAATACTCTGAAAGAGAGTTTAAAAGGAAAAGTAAAATTTATTTCTGAATTACAGACAGAAATAAAAGAAAAGCAACTAATAAAGTTGCTAAACAATTCAAAGATTCAACTGGACATTGAAAATTTCCAAACAAAAATTGGAAAAGAAATCTGTGCTGAAACCCCTAGCGCATTCTGGCACAGGAAAAGGCATATGGTAGATCTTCCATATGAAGAGGGATTTAGTGAGAATAAAATCCCAACAAAAGCCAGACCAATCCAGATGAATAGAAGATTATTAGAAATCTGCAAGAAAGAAATCCAAGAATTATTAGAAAAAGGTCTAATTAGGCCAAGTAAGTCTCTCTGGAGTTGTCCAACATTCTATGTTGAGAATGCCGCAGAGATCAAGAGAGGAGTCCCTAGGCTTGTAATAAATTAGGTCTCTACATCTTCCCCTACATCAAAACCAAAACAACCCTTTCACCAAACACCCAACACTTGGGTCTCTACATCAAAGCTTTCCACACTCAAGGGAAACCTTTTCCAATTCCCAGAAAGTTTTTCTCACAAATTCTTCCCCTCCTAAAAATGATAAACCCAATAACTTGCTTACTTCGTCTTCAGTTTCCACCATCTTCTCCAAATACACATTTGTTTGGTTGTTTCTATTTTCCCACTCTATCAACAATTGCCTCCTCATCTTCAGTTTCCACCTTTTCTTTGCAGAGCATCACCGTTTTGAGCTTCAATAGGACATTCCAAATCCTTCTTCTCCACCTTATTCTTCAACTAATTTGGAATGATGCTACTTGTGTCATAGCTCTGACTTCTAAGTCTAGCCCTCACCCCCTTGCTTTTATGAATCCTCTTGAACTTATTGCAAGGACCATCCCCAACAAGACCTTTCAATTGATGAAAAAATTTGGTGACAAGAACCAAGTGTCCATTATTTGATCCTTTAGGCCTTTTGGATTAGCCAAAGCAACAAGTCAACAACACTCTTACTGTTCTCTGCAATCATACTCACATCTCTTTTCCTCCCTATACCCAACCACAGTTTTCCTATTAGCACTTCTTGTGAGTTTTCAAAAATGTTGGACATCTTAGGGGCTTCTTTTTTCTAAAGTTGTCTTGGTACCATCAATTGCCAGAATTGGCGCTTCAGTCCCCAACACTGAATCTGTCACAAAGTCTTCTGGGAAACATGAACCTTAGGTCCAACCTCCCTTCCCCTGGAATTGTCAGCAAAGAAATCTGGCATTTCAAGCTCTGAAAAACAGTTTAACATATGAGGTTTTTACTGCAAACTCCTGATCACCTTTTGAAACCACACTCACATCCTTAGCTTCAAGAAAAAGATATTCTGAAATGACATTTTCATCCCCTTCCACACACCTTTTGATAGAGAGATCCTTCCCCTTTGAGAAAGATTCACCTGGAGCTTTGAAAGATATCCCATCTGAATATGAACCATTTGATTTTGTGTCACAACTCAGGGACTTCGAACCCTCTTCACTTGAAAACCTGGTGACCACACACTCCAACACTTCCTTCGTACTTTTGTCTGAGCTTATTTTTTCTTTAATGAATGCTTTTTAATAATTGACCCCCCCCTAAAGTCTTAGCTAGCCACCTTTTTTGTTTATACCAACCTATGATTGATCTCTTCTTCTGCAGAGAATCAACTCTTTTAATCCTCCAAGAGGTAGGCAATGATGGATCAAAGGTTTGGTCTACCATCGCCTGATTAAAATCTCCCGTCACATGCTTCAATAAAACTTCACATGAATTCTTTAAAGGCCTTGCATTAGAAGTCCCAAGCCAAACAAGCCCAAAAAGTCTTGAATTAGGCCCACCTCCTTGCCCTCCCATGTGATCACTTAAATCTCCAACTCTTGGCTCAGTATCTCCCGGTTCAGAAGTCTCAACCCAGGTTGAACCCAATTCTCCCCCTCAACTTTTTGTCTTCCCTTCAATGTTCTTAGCCTCCAGCACACCAGTCAAAGTTTTTTCCTCATGCTTCCATCTGCTTCTACATAAAACTTCGAGTTGTCAATACCTAACACTACCTGTGCAGATGATTTCACCATATTTCTTGGATTGGGAATCAAAAGTTACCATTTAAGAGGAAAGACCCAGAACCTTTTAGTCTACCCTTGGTCTTTCTCTTATTTGTGAAATGATTCAGATAATTTGAATTTTCAAATCCTATGTTGCCACATAGGACACAGCCTTCCACATCCAACTAAAATGACAAGCCAAACACTGTATTCCAACTTTGATTTTCCTTGGAATTCCATTGTATTTTTCTCCCACCACCTTAATCACTGTTGAGTGCAAATCACCCAAAACATATCAACGAGGAACCCTCCATATAGAGATGCAATCAGCTTCATATTACTCTCCGAACATAAATAGAATGGCAACCCTAAGATTCTTATTACCACTCCCACTTCTACTGAGATGGGTTTCACATTCACCAATAGACACCACTTTGAAATTATCACCTAGCCTTCTTCAGTCTCCGAGGTTGTAGCATGAATCTCCACCAACTCCTCAGGTAGGTCCAACAAGGCTCTATCCTTGTCAAACGGAGTTAGCACTAAGACACCTCTCACCTTCAGGTTCCTTCTTATTGCCTCTCCTATTTTACCCCAACCCCCCACCTCTTTTTTAGTTACTAGACATTGTTCCCAATCACCTTTATGAACCAATAACTCTGACATTGATGTGTAACCAATCATCTTCAACTAATCCTCTTCCCTCTCTGACACCCTACTCTTTACCAACTCTTCCTCATAACTTCCAAGTGTTGTGCCCAACTGCTGATCCCCTACTCCTTTCAAACTCTTTATCTCCACCAGAAAAACCAAGTACTTCTGAAGCATTTCCAATAATCCCAGCTACCTTTCAGTATTCCAACCTTCAAGAATACAAATGAGCTGTTCTGACCCCTGTCCAAAAAACTCAGACAAAGTGAGGTGTGGTGTGACAAACCAACCTTTGTCATTTCCTTTCCTTTCTGCAAAATATCTCCTTCCTTCTGTTTCCAAAATTTTCTTCCAATCCAAACTTCTAGTAGAAGTTGCACCATCCACCAATCTGTGGACTCTAAACCACCTTATCACTTCTCTAACTAAAAGGATTGTCACTATTCGCAACTCCCTGATGCCTCTCACCAAAGTATCCTCGAGTACAAAAGTTTTGGCTTCAATTTTGATTGTTCTTCTTCAACCTGTCCCATGAATAAAATTTCCTCCTAGCTTCATGACTGCTGATCTGTAGTTTCTAGTTTTGACTTCACAACTCATTTAGTAAAAATATCAACAAACTAAATCTCAGAAGTAACAAAAAGAAAACAAACTTCTAGTTCTTGTAGTCCTGGATTGTCTCTAAGCCCAAGGCTCCAAGCTTAGAGAGAACAAGGCAGTAGGGATCCCAATCAAGCTTAATATACTTTGTGGTAGCCAATCTAAGAAAAGGCTTATTGAGTTTTGTGGATAAACAGTGAAACTTGACTGATCAAAACAATCTGTATACAGGAGTAAAAGTAAACAGAAGTAAAACCAAACCAATCATTTTGAGTGAACTAGTTATCATTGAATTCTACATGGAGAGATCCCTTTTTTGTATTTTGAGCTCCTTTTGTATACAGGTGTTGCCTTAATAACATTCTTTTTCTACATCTATTTTTCATTAATAAAAATTTTTATTTATGGCAAGAAAAACAATATGAAAAAGTGAAGTGGTTTAATGTGTTTTCTTTTTTTGATTAATGAAGTGGTTTAATGTGTTGTCAGTGTGTAAATTCTGCTTGAGAGATTATTTAGGCAATTAAATGTGTTATGCACATTGGCAGATATTGGATATCAAAGTTAATACAAGATTCAACTCAACTCAACTAAGCCTTGTCCCAACCATATGGGGTTGGCTACATGAATCCTGTTGCACCATTCTGCACTGTTACAGCGCTAGAAATTAATACAGACTATTTTCTGAAATCCAGGTCAAATGAAAATGACACCAACCATAAATTTCCATTAATTAAACAACAAAAGGCATAATTAAATGTCTAGGTTACACTTGGTAAAACTCCTTTTGCTTTAATTAAACAACAAAAGAAACACTCCATAGGAACATTGGCCAACGCTACCTCATTAACTGGTAGAACGGTAACAAACTCAAAGAATCATATCCTAGAGGTATACACACATAAAACCACAAGTCATATAGTACTTACGAATCTTTAGTGAATTTGTCAAGTGCACCCTGAGATGGTATAGGTCCAGTCAAGAAGTTGGTTGAGACATTGCTTCAATAAATTAGAAAGTACTTCAGTAATTTTTCCATAGCAATCCTATCAGAAACTGATCTGAAATGATCAAACTATGGTACTCACAAGATAGAAAGCTTGGACAGATTCCCAAGTGATGAAGGAATTGATCCACTAAGAGAGTTACTTGAGATATCCCTGAGAATAATCAGAAGGTACATTTAAGATGTGTTTGATCACATATAACACCAAAATGCATTAAACTTTTTTTTCGATATCTAGAAAAATGCATTAAACTGGATAGATAACTTCCTTAGCGTTCCAGCCTGACACAATCAAACTAGCTAGTTCAATCAAAGCATAATAAATTTGTGATAAGAATCTTTCAACAAATTGAAGAAAAATTGGAGAAATGGACAATTAAACAAAATTTAGCATTTTATGGCTGTGGTAACTTATAATTAGTACTATATAGGGAAAATGCACTCTTAAAAATATCACTAATGAGGTCAATAACAAACTAAGTAGTAGCTCTGGCTTTCTCCAATAAAAATTTCACAAGGAATTTAACAATATAATTTTTTATCAATATTGAATAATATAAATTTGGAAAATTGAAAAAAAATAAAAAATAGAATCTCCAATGACAAACTAAAAGTAGTCTCTGATTCCGTTCAATAATTATACCAGAAAATCAAAAAAGGGTGTATCAACATATTTGCAATGGCAATTTTGAAATGCTTAGTAGCATAGTTTCCAAAAATAAAACACAATTGATTTTATCAATAATAACTAAAAACAGAATCTCTTGTCTGTGTTCATATTATATAAGACCAAAATTTGAGAAAGGAGTGGCAACACAGCATTTTTCAAATACAAGTTTAACATTGTTAGAAAAATACATTATAGAAAAAAATTCTTTTGTTAGCATAAGTGTGACCTGAGATTGGATAGCAGTGACTCAACTGCGCCAAATTTTCAACATCAAATGTGTCACCAACTAGAAACTCAAAATGATGAAAGCTTGAAATAAGAATTAATTTGAGGTTTAATTAAAAAAAAAAAAAAAACTCACAGGGATTCCAGATCCAAAAGGCCACCATATTCAGCAGGAATCAGTCCACTTAAGTAGTTACCCTGCAAATATCTGCAAAAAAAAAAAAAAAAAACAAAAGAACGATAAATCTTAGAAACATATTTTTCTGCTATATTTCTGGAATCAAAATAGGACAGAGCAAGTCAATCCACATTCCACAATAGATTTACAAAAAGGGAAAAGGTTAGCCTTGAATCCTTTTGCTCACACAGCCTCAATTTTTCTTCATACATTGTATCAAATCAACCAGTTCAACTTTTTTTTTTATCAGTAACAAACCCGTTCAACTTTCTCTCAAGTTCCACCTCCATTCTAGAATTGTTTTCTTGACAGTTCCATACAAACCATAAACCAGCTCCTAAACCCTCTGCACAAGCTATTTTTCCCAATTATTAGTAAGTTTGAAACCCTTCCAAATGGTTAGTCATCAGTTTAGTGTCAAAGTTTTCACATACTTCATCAATTTGATATCAGAATTTACATACAATGAGGAGAGAAGTTTTCCATTGTTATATTAGATACTCTAATGTATCTTAAGCTATCTTGATTCTGCTTTGGACTATCCAATCTTAGAGAGAGTCTGCTTTTTCTTTTTTCAGCATTCAGCAGAGAATCTGCTTGTTTGCAGGCTTTGACAATCATTTTGAGTTTTTCAGGTCCCTAGTGTCCCTAGATATACATCTTGTGCACTTATTCCTTTCCCTTTTTTTGTCATTCTATACTGTTCCTCATCATTAGCAATCAAAAAGGAATAAACTAAAGAAAATGTTAAACTAGTTTCAGATGTTTAATTGCTCTTTACTTAACCTACTTCCCAACTCCTGTGCCAAATTGCCAATATTCTCAAAATATATAACAAAAGTCTCTAATAAATGCTTTATAGTTTCATCAGTCACAGGGCTACTTATGGACTCTGGCTTAAGTTGGACTACAATTTAATCCAGCACCTGAGCATGGATAAGAACCAAAACCTATTTTAGAGCATTAGATTGGGCCTTGTAGAGAACATTGATGTGGGCCCCACAGCTGTGGTCCCACATATCTAGTCACAGCTGTGGTCAATTTGTTATTCTGTTATTCCTAGTTGCTATTTATTTTTCAGTTTTATATTGTTTGTTATGTGTTGGCAGTTATGATGTAAACACCAAGGGCAGATATGTCCTTTCATGTAACTAGCATAACATATATATATTAAATTAAAGTGGCGGCGGCAGAATATTGACATTCTGTTCTTCTCCTTAAAATCTGTGTTCTACTGCTCTCACCACTCTTTCTTCTACTTCTTCTTCACTTTCTCTTCTCATCGAATCTGAAACTTCTTAGTGATCAAGACTGATAGCAGTCTTGAACACCTACAGGCCTGAATAAATTATGGGCTTTTGCTTAATTTCAAACCATTTGTAGACCTAGTTAAAGATCCAACCAGTGGTACATCTTAGGGATTGGGTTGGGCTGTGGATAGGACCTTTCACTGCTAGTGTCAGAGTGCACAATAGGTCCATGAGAAAAATCACTTCAGAACCTGATGAATTGTTCAGACCACCTTTTTTTGATAAGTAAAGAGTCATATTCCATTAATTCAAAGATCGGTCACATGAAAATCCCCTTAGAGAGGTATGAGGTGCTGCCTCTCCATACAGAAAACACAAAAATTACATCAAAAAGTGCATCACTGTTAAAAAGACACAAATTACAGTTGCACCCAGGATAATGTTTCCCTGTTTGTCCCTTGTTTTGTCAAATCAGCAAATGCATTAGCTGATCTCCCAACCCACTGTACTGTTACAGACCACCTTAATTCCATGACTTTTGGAAAATGTCGTAATAAATAAATATCAGTTTTATTCAATAGTGAAGCAAGAAATATAGCATTATGGATATAATAAGAAATCTAGTGGTAGTACTTACATTGCTCGCAACTCTGTGCAATTGCTCAACTCCGAAGGGATTGTTCCATATAAATTATTGTTGTGAAGAGCTCTACAAGATGTATTATATGGCATAAAAAATCAGCAGCAGCACACTCTCTAATAAACAAACCATGCATCAGATATGTACGAAAATAATATTTGAAACAACTGGGAAATACATACAGGAGCTTCAAGTGATTAAGCTTCCCAATGTCGGGTGATATAGAACCACTCAATTTGTGATACGGAAGACTCCTGAAAAACAGATGTTCATGAAACACATTTAGCATTATGATATGGAAAGAAGCTGTTTTTTATTATCTGAAAATGGTTCAATACACCAACAGATCTACAGGTAATCTGGGCTGCACTTACCCAGTTCTTGAGAAAAGAACTTGTATTTGCAATTTAGTCAATTCTAATCCATGTTTTCATTGATAAGTATAAAAATAAGAATTACAAATAATGAATAAAGAGAACTTCCCTTTCAAACAAGGACATCCATAGAGAAAAATACAACTTGCCACTCTTTCTTCTTAGAACTTACCAAAGTCGGTTCTAATCCATGTTTTCATTGATAATAACATCATTTCCTAATCTACCATAAGTGAACTAATTTACTAAAAAATCCAGAAAGAAAAACAACCAAGCCCTCAAAGATCCTGTCTATTGCTTTTTCCTGTACTTAGAAGACTATGAAGGGAACGGCCTTCCATGGGATTTACACAAAATTCAATGAGGATAACATATTATGGGTCAACTCATGGGGGACAAGATGGAATCCTCTAGTTCGCCTAAGATAAATAAGGAACCTCCTTTCGCCATACTATTTAGTAAGATTAGGTGCTTGTGATTTGGAGCCAAGGTCTAAGACAAGAAAAGGCCAAAAAACATACTTTTTAAGTACAAATAGGCCTCATTGTAGCTCTCACAATGTGCCAGCAATTGGGTTTTCACAAATCCATGCAAACCGAGTCCAATTTCATGGGCCTAGAAAGTTGCACTAGCAAGCCTTAGCCTCATAAGTTGTTGAATTGGAATATTCTAGAATGTTGAATTCTATTCTCCCAATCAAATCATTGGTCGGATTCTCAATATATGCTGAATAATGGCTACATCCACAAGATTTATTCCATATCCTGAAGATATTTTCAATAGGTTCTTAGTTGCAAGTGTTTCTCTCAATATTGTAAGTCAGACCAGACTATACATGGTTTACTTGGTCAACCCAGTGGTCAGACCACCTGACCCATGACCTAGTAACCCTAACCAAGGTTCAAAGTATCGATACAATATGCCCCATATTGGGTGTGTCTTATCGTTTTCTTGAACCTGCTGATACTCAAAATACACATATATGGAAGTTTAACCATTTTTAGTGTGTTTTAATGATCATGCTAAGGCTAATTTCAAACAGTCAAAACAAAACATTTAGATGGGGTGAGTATCGAGGCTTGGAAATGCACAATACACAAAGTTTTTATATTGTGCATCTCAATATTTTGAACTTTGGTCCTAACAGATTTGTGAATGGCCCAAGTTAGGCAACAATGGTTTATCTATAAATACTCCATGTATTTGCTCATTCAAACCATTGTATGAATGACTGAGTTAAGAGTCTTCTTCCTATTCTCTCTTCTACTCCTCTATCTTCTTATTTCTTTACCATCTTCCTAGTTCACCTATCTATTCTCCACTTCTTTATTCTTTAATCTTTCATCCGAACTCTATTAGTTTTATTTTTTACATTTTCTTCTTTATTCTTTAATCTTTCATTTGAACTCTATTAGTTTTATTTTTTACATTTTATTTTTTATTCTTTAATCTTTCATTCAAACTCTATTAGTTTTATTTTTTACATTTTCTGTTTTAATAATTTTTTTCCTTTACTATAAAAAAGAAAAAAAGATTTTCTTCTTGTAACATACAAAACCAGGATGAAACCCAATTCTATTAGAGTTTAAAATCATGTAGGAGCACAAGCAATTTCCACTAATATATCTTAGATTAGCAGGGCTTACAAATAAATCACTCTCTTGGTTTTAGCATCGCACTGCACTCCTTTCCAACCACAGGGATCTGGATCTTCTTGCCTCCATTGAAGAAGGACACCATCTGAATTAACAATTGCTGTCTTAAAGCTTAAAAGTGCCTCACCTACAGTCACAAAGATAAAATAAAATTAAAGGGAAATGAATAAAAGGAAGCTTTTTGATTTATTTAGAAAATGGATTTAACCACCTAAGTTGTCTGTATTATAGTTAACAGGAGGTTGGAGCCGACTATTTGATGTTCTCCATAGAGGAGATCACATATAAAAGGCTGGTCCTATAATTGGAACCATCCATAATTCGTTGTCTCATCCTTTCAGACTTCAAGTTATGCCATAGGATCCAAAGAAATTAAAAAAAAAAATGCAAATAAAGCTCACTGCTCAATGAATGTTGACCTCCAAAATAGCACAATTCTAAATGGTGCTCACTGTTCAATAAATGTTGAAATATAAACCATCTTAATATGTGGGATATAGAACTACCTATGATGAAGTTCCCACCTAAAAATTACCAAGATTTCCGATTAAAATAAAAAAAGGAAAGAAAAAAAAAAACTAGGAGTTCCAAATCCTAAAACTTAACTTGATTTTCACTAAGTTAAAATGACAAAAGAAATGGCAGATACTAGCTTATAAGATCAACATAGTTAACTGACCCCCAGCACACACAAACACAAAAAGGGG